TAAACTTTAAAGCGAGGTTTTTCAATGCGCAGTATTAGACAAATGTCAAGATGTTTTGGTGTCTTATTTATTATAAAATTGTGCACATTGATGCTTTCTGAAAAAAATTGAAGTTGTTAGAATAAACTCATTTGCCTGATGACCTAAAAGAGAGGGTGGGAAATTTCCCTTTTATGTTAGAATGAGTATGTCAGAGGGATATTCACGAAGGTGATCATTTCGCTAATAACAAAAAGTTGTTATAGGGTGGATATGTGGCGATACAATATCCTAAAATCATGGATCAAATAATGTGGCACCTATCCTTTCTACATTGACTTGACTATGGAGTCACGTTGTACGATCCAACGCGCTCTACAACTCTTCATTTTATTTGAGTTTGAGATTCACAGTAAAAGGTATAATTTGAATTTATATGTATATATAATCAAAATGTCTAATTGATAATGACCAAAACCATGAGCTATGCACTTTTTGAAAAAGAAGAATGAACCACAAATCAAAATCATGGTACCTTCATGAAACAATTGGTCCCATATTTTCACATCCTTTAGTGGGCTCATGTGCTTATCAGCAGTGCCCACAAAAAATAATCAGCTTATTTTTGTGGTCCTCGAAGCTTTTTCTCTTTTTCCACGGCTTATGCATTGAACTATTAGTTGAATATACATGTGGCATGTGAATTTAAAGATTAGCTTTAGGAAAGGCATTGTGAAAATCTTACTTTTAGTATAGTAAGAACGTGGATTAATTAGCACGGGGCTGTGTATACTCAACGGGTGAGTAGGCTTTTGACTAAACAAGGATCTCTGTTGGATAAAAATTGTTGTGTTTGTATTTAATTTTTGCGTTTGAATGTTTGATCACAATTCAATCCGGGATCATATAGCATACAATTTTCTTAATTTTATCATGAAACGCTAAAAAAATGTTAATCTGCATTTTACTAGATAATATACAAAGATGTTGAGCAAAATTTACCAAGTACATAAATAATTTTGAGGGTAAACAACTCTTTTTGTAAAATAAGAAAGTTACTTATTTAGATAATAATATCTATTTTGTTGTCAAAATAAGTATTTTTCCACTTTTGAATTATAGAATAACTCAATATTTTACTTTTTGAATAAATATTACTTTTTTTTTTTTTGAAATTCAAATAAATTTGATTGACTTATGAGTTGAACCAACATGCTCTAAGAAAGATAAAAGAAATTAAAAAATTTATTAATAACAATGCTTAATACTACGTGTTTAACAATTAATATGTATATGGATAAGACGTATTATAATACTTTGGAGGAATTTTTACATGTTTTCTATTTTTCTTTCTTAAATATTTCGAACCCTATTCAACCACGAAAATAGAAAATGAGATGAGATGAGATATGAAAAGTACCTATCTTTTTGAAATTTGACGGGTCTAGCTTTTTGCTTAAGTATTATGAGTTCGTTTTTTAAATTTGATAAGCCTATCTTTCGAATCTCTCGAGTTTCTATGAAGAGATAAGAAATTAAGAATCATCTCCTAAAACTAGTTAAATGTATTAGATTCTTCTACTTTTGAATTGTCAAGGCTTTGAGTATCAGCGTATGCTAACAAGTGACGGCTCTTGTTTAATAAAACCAAGAAAAGTTTACAAATTTACATTAATAAGGAAAGGATAGAACCTGATTTCCAATGGAGTAAAGCGAGGCGTAACTCATGAAAGAGTTAGCAAAAAAGACTAATACCATCAAATTGAGCCATTACAAACAATAAAAAGTAGACTCAACAAACTTGGCCCATTGACAAGTGGGAAAAAGTAGGAAAAAAAATACACAGTTACAAATTTTCAAGATATATACTTTAAAATATAAAACTTGTGAAAAAGTTTTAAAAATCAATGTGACCACTTGAATGATTTTATGACTTAATAATTAATCAAATAGCTTAACATTGCAATAGCACATAATTTATAGTCATATTCACGTAATAGTCATGAAATCGCATGATGTTACAGTCACAATAACACAAATTGTAGGTCACAATTAAAAATTTAGTCACAAATCACACATTTGATTATGTCATATATTATCTATTGGTCGCAAATTATTCATTTTACTAATCAGAATTACCCAAATAATTTATCACAATGCTATGGACCCCACTTCATCCTACCTCATTCTCCCACCATCAGCACCACCCAAATGACGTCGTTACCTCACCTCACCACCACCACCTCCAACTCCAACCTGCCACAACCCCAATCACAAATACACATAGATATGCTCGATCAGAGATGCAACACCATCACCACTGCACCATCACCACCACCACCACCACCATCACAAATTATATCGCTATCGCTATCACCACATGCACATCATTTACAACGATTGACAATCGCCATATTTCTAGCCATTCTATGTCTGTCACCTCGAGTCACCATTTCAACACCATCACTAATCGAATTGGAGATGGATAGAGTGGAGTCCTCGACATTGCAAATCGAATGGGGCTTAGAAGAGAGAAAGGGAGCACCCAGCTGCGATGTTTTGAGTAAAAGGAATAACCTAGTGGCGACAGCGATCGTAGACAATGTAGACAAGACAGTAAGTACATATCTTGTGCATCGATCCACAAGCGGGGAAAACAGTGATTGATTTTTCGTGATGATAGTTGAAGTTGGTGGGTGACGACGTACAAATACAGAGATAGGGTCATAGATATTTGAATAATGCTATGTGTACATTTCAAGGTGTACACACAATCTTACATCCCCCTCACATGGGGGCCCACACGTCCCCTCCATGTGAGTGGAGTGTAAGGTCATGTGCAAACGGTTATGTACACGTAGTGTTGGCCTAGATATTTTGTGTGGGCTTGGATGCGTAGGTGGGGTATGGGATAGGGTAGGGCAAGATAGGGTGCACTTGATTTTTGATAGAAATTTTTTTTTTACCTGATTATTGAAATTGGAAGTTAAAAATCAACGTGAAACTCACAAAATTATTGGCTAATTTTTATAAATTGGTTATAATGTCAATTTATTTATTTTTTTAATTTAATTTTTTTTTGATATTATGTGGGACTCACAAGTATTATCACTTATCCATAACTCGTTTCTATTTATTTATAATGTAGCTGTTTATAAATTCTTTCCAAACAAGCACTAAAGAACATAGAATTGAGCCATTACATACAAAAGTAAGGGGCTGTTTGGACCCGATTTTTTCACCCAAAAAATTGATTTTTTGACCGTTATTTTACTATTCCAGCCGTTATATTTGACTTCTTCTCTCACAGGTGGACCCCACTTTTCTCTTAACAGTCAAAAAATCAATTCTCAAAATCACTCCCAAACAGGCTCTAAAGCCAACGAACTTTTATGGGAAAATATAAATTTTTGATGAGATACTTAGCTCGATCAAGGACCCATAGCTTATCAAAGGATTATTAAGAGGGTGTTTGGTAGGAATTTTTATGTGAAAATGTATTTTTGAATAGTAAATTGATGGAAAATGTGTGGTTGAAAAATAAAAAAAAGTTTTTGATTTACGTGTAATATTATTTTAATAAAGAATGTGTGGTTGAAATGAAGAGAGAAAAAAATGTATTTTGATAAAAATGGGTGCCAAACAGGGCATAAATAAAGATTGGAGGATTTCTTTCCTAGGCTTGCTAGCTAAATAGAGTAGCCTTCCACACGTGCACTGAAACCAAAGTTTGTGACTCGCCTTAGGCAAAACCCTCCAACTGACAATCTAAGATATGCTCCACTAGAAATGGTTTAAAATTGTCTTAAAATTTGGCTAAAAGTTCACATTTAACTTCTCAACTGAAAATGAGAGATTTGTTTAGTATTATAGATTTTCTGATACCAAACAATTAGTCGAAGGGATGGATTAAATCCAATCAATCGTGTCTTATGACAAAAATGGAATCCGAAAAGAAATTTGTTTTAAATGAATGTGCCGGTGTCCTAAGATAAAAAAAGGGAAAAGATTTTTTTTTAATGAACTTGTTAATCCATTTGACTAGTATAGCATATTCTCTTAGGGCTTGTTTGAGCCCCATTATTTCCTCATTAAAATGAAAAATATGACCATTATCCATCACATCAAGTCATCATATTTGACTTTTCATCTCTTGTATGTGGATCATAACGATTATATTTTTCATTCTCATTTTTAAAATAATGTGGCTCAAACGGGGGCTTGGTAATTTCAACTTTATCATGATTATTTGAGTAGGTTCGAAAGAAAACCAGAATTAACACTTAATTCACTTTTCTAGAGGCTCTCTTAAGAATCGTCTAGTTGATATGAGAGAGGCTCTAGCTCAAAGCATTGAAGCAGTTTGCTATGAATCACAATGTTGATGGTTCACATATTTTCTTCGTTGGTGCTTAGTATTAGTTTGGTGGAGTTCACCATTTCATCGTGCTATTTAAATTGTGATGTTGTGTAGTATTATTCAAAAATAAAGAAACGTGTCAACTAAAACGAAGATCTAATCGAGGATTACAATGTCTAAATTTAGCATTCGTTTGGAAGATGTCTTTTTTGTAACTTTTCCTTACTTGGAAAAATATGTATTCTCCGGAAAAAAAAAAATTAATTTTCATTTGGAAAAAATTTCCCAAACCTTAATTTAAGGGGTGATAGACTTGATAAAAGTACTTTAAAATGAAAAACCTATAACATAGTAAAAGTATAACGAGTCGAATAGAGATTTATACAAATGTGTCTTTGAACTAAATCACTTTCTAATCTAATCTGCTTGTTAAATCCCATCAAGAACTGTATTTTTCCATCAAGATGATGTGATATTTACTGGAGAATAATCAGTGGGTAAATGTAATAATTAAGCAAGCACTGCAACTAATTTGATTATTCTCCGAGTCAAAACCGTTCTAAACACGCTTCAAAATATTGAGCAGTAATCAACAAAATCAATGGGGAATTGTAAAGATTTATGAAGAACAAGATAAACATTAATATCCCATATTAATTGAAGGAAAGAAAATTGTATAACTGCAATTTCCAGCCATGAATTCAGAAATCCAAAAAATAAAATAATATAAATAATAACAAATGAGGAAGAAAGAACATTTGATTCTCCTTCTCCCAACTTTTTTCCCCACAAGAAAACAATAAATCATCTTTTCACTTGTACCCAGTCTTCTACTCGGACTAAAATTCTCCCGTAACCCATAAAACTTCTTTTTTCCTTTCTTTATCCATGTTGTTTATTGAATTCCTCGTTTAATGAAATGTTGATGGATCAATAGAGAAGCAACGAGTAAAAAGGGGAGAAGTAAATTAATTTCGGGAAAAAATCAAACAAAATACTCATGGAAGAAGGTGCGGAATTTTTTATTTTATCAATTTTTTTTTTTTTTTAGAATTTCAGTTCATCTTGTTTCGGATCATGATTGATGTTAATTTTTGTGTGTATTTTGATTTCAAATGGTTCGATGCCGTGACGGGTTTCTTTGGAAATCCCCGATTTGGGGGGTTTTTTGGTTTAATCTGACATTTTTCATTGCATTTTGGGAGAAGCTTGGCTGGGTTTGGTTTTAAATTCTGGGTTTTCGCATTTATTGGGTCTTCCCTGTAATTTTACACAAACAAACACACTCAATGCGTGATAATTTGGTATATAAAATTTCTAATGAGAGGGTGTCTAAGAACAACCATTGAAGCAGCTGGAAATTGAGGGCAAAGTACAATGTTTGAGGCTCAAGGAACAACCTTTAAGAAAATTATACTTTTGGGTTCTGCAGCTGTACCTTTCTTTGTGGTTGGAAACCTATTCTTGCATTATCCTTTCAAATGCATATTTTACTTTGTGGTTCTTTCATCTGATATGACTTGCAAAATTTTCAGATCTCCACATTGCTGTAACTTAATTCTTGGAGGATTATTTTTCCTATTAAATTTTGGTATCTTGCATTGTGGGTACATGGAAGATCAGATGCATTTGATTTCTAAATCTCTAATGACTTAGAAGACACTGCCTATCTATAAGTTTTTGAAAGTGCTAATTGATATAAGTTCAGGCTCTGTAAATTAAATTTCGTGTAAAAACACTTGTTTGAAGTTCTTGAAACATATACCAACCATGATTTCGTTGACAATAAGTGTCCTCTATTGATTTAATGAGCTGATTTTGAGACGCGTTATGATGATATGCACCATATTACCTTTTGAAGCTAAGAGATACAATGTGAAGAATGTGTCCTCTATTGATTTGAGGAGCTGATTCGAGTCACATTATGATGAAAATATATAAATATATTATTTTGAAAGGTATATATGCATATCTGAACCTGGAAAAGTAAGTAATACTGTTGGCAATAAGTAATACTGTTGACAGTTATGTACACAATGAAGGTCTCTTCTATGCACCTTGATAAAATTTTCTGTATTATTTCTTCTTGAAAACAGAAAAATGAACTTTAAATCTAAGTTTCCTCCGTGATACAAGAATGCCATTTTTACTTTTATTTTTTTAAATTTTGATTCTTGTAAGTTTGTCTAATAAGGGTCCAAGTTCTTGGATTAAGTTTTTTAATTGTTTATTTGAGCATGAGAAAGGGGCACTGGTCCCAGTGCTGGTGTATATCTTGAGTTCAACTCGGAAACCACTTGGGACTTATGTTGGACGTCCTTGCACATGCTTGCTTTAATGTATGTTTAGCTGATCATCTCAAGTATTATATGTTTGTTTCCTGTTAATCGTTTAGAAACATGTGAGGTGCGTTCAGAAGACGATAATGCTCTTGCTGAGAAAAGCAAGAAAAGGACAGTGAAAACACGTGCTCAAGTTGATGCTTTGGAAAAATTTTATGATGGTAAACTTTCTCTTTTTGTATGTCACGCCTTTCCATATGTTGTCTCATTAATGTATTATCCTTATACCCAATTGTTAAGAAGAACTTGTCCTTTTCCCAGAACACAAATATCCTACAGAGTCGATGAAATCGCAACTTGCAGAGTCATTAGGACTGTCAGAAAAGCAAATTTCTGGATGGTTTTGCCACAGAAGGTTGAAGGACAAGAGATTATTAAATGAGGAACCATCTGCAATGGGGAGACAAGATCGTTCAAGTGGGATTATACAGGATGGTGGCAGTGGATTTAAGCAAGACTCCTTAGGTAGCACAAAACTGGGAGAAGATAGAAATTTTGACACCAAGGAAGTTGAAAGTGAAAGGTTAGCTGGCCAAGAATTTTCTGCTGCTGACCTCACGTATGAGCCTGTTAATCACTATACCAGTAACTATAATCGTATTAATGATCCATCGTCAGGAGGTAGTTCATCATTACGGAATATGTCTTCCCATCATAATGGTGACTTTTTTGATGTGGCAAGCTCGAAATACCTAACACCAAAGTTTCCTATGGATTCAAAGGATGTTAAAGTTAGGCATGGCCCATCAGGTTATCTAAAAGTGAAAGGTCAGGCTGAAAATGCTGCTATTATTGCTGTAAAAAAGCAGCTGGGAAGTCATTACCGGGTAGATGGTCCGCCACTTGGTATTGAATTTGATCCACTTCCCCCTGGTGCGTTTGAGTCTTCAGAGCAGGAACCAGATAATGGTAAATGTTTTTCTACCCTTTACATCATGCTGTATAACAATGTTCTATCTTTATGTACTCACAGAAGTTTGTCCATGTTTGAACGTTTATGTTGGTTTGTTCATCTCCATTTGCTTTACGTAGTTGTGGTGCCTTGATTATGGAAGATAATGAAAATAAGCACACAAGATGTAAAATATAGCCGGTATATAATGGAATTGCTAATGAGAAGATGGATTTCTTGTGTTTAGATGAGCATCTGGTGTTCATATTTTTATGGGAGTTCCACAGAAATCATTGATAATTATTGTATTGAATGAATAACATGTTTAGAATAATCAGATGACTGATAATGTGTATATGTGGCAACAGTACGCTGCAATACATTAGCAATGTTCATTGGGAGTTACTAAAGAGGAGCTCCTGAGAAAATTACTTCTCCTGCTAAAAAGTTTCCAATGTCATAAAAATAGTCTACGCATGAATGATTTCTTGCTTGGCATGGATTATGCTTGTTTTCAACTCTCTATTTTTCAGAGCTTATGTGTCATCATATGACTTTTTCCACTTATGCGAGTGTTTGCCTTTTAGTTTCTGCTTTCATCTTATAATTGCTTATTGTTGGGTAATTATACTTTCTTAATGTCTACCACCATATGACTTTTTCCACTTCCGCGAGTGTTTGCTTTTTTGTTTCTGCTTTCATCTTATAATTGCTTATTGTTCGGTAATTTTACTTTCTTAATGTATAAAAACAAGTTTTGAGCAACAACTCTGATTCTACACTTTAGTCTCAGCCTGTGACACAGAGATTTCGCCATTTTACCTTAGCTCCTGTTTGGTGTAGATTAAAATCTACTAAAAATCCCAAGTCAAAGTCAACAATTAATCTTAATTATACATTTCATGGGACCCACAACTTTTCAACCACAAATTTTATCAACTTTTATAAAAAAAGGGGCTTAATTGTTTGTAGCTCTTATGAATTTTTGCATTCTGTTTCTATCAGCATAATGGATTTTCCAAGTGTATCCTATGCCCCTTTAAGTTATTCAGTATATCTTGCAAGTAGAATGTATTTTACGTAATCATTTCTCATTACATCTATGTGCTTCAATAACATCCATCTGATCCTTTCTTTCTTTAACTTATTCTTCTGGGTTTTTTCTGAATATTATTTGTTTCTATTGTGTATACTTGCCAGAACCTTATTGTGCTGGAGAACGTGTTCTGCAGTCCATTCCTGGCGTTTCAAAAATCCAGAAGTATCCTAATTTCAGCGAGGCAAGTTATTGTGGTGGACACAATCTTTAACTCATTTAGAAAATGTCAGCGATTTGATTTTATATGATTAGTTTTGTTTTCTTTCATTTAAATGCTCAACAGGGATATAAATACAATTACACCGGCTCTCATGACGCTGGCATGGATGGAACAAATTTTAGAATGACGCGCGAATCTGAAATTTCCGGAAGTTACCTCCAGCAGAAGTTGAAGATGAAGACTAGTACGTTGGATCTTGGGATTAATTCGCCAGTGCATTTTCCCGAAGCTTCTAGAAAATATATGCCAGACTATGAAAGTAGGGACAGTTATCAAAAGAGGCCTCGACATAGTATTGAAGGGATGAGAGTGGAATCTGTTTCTAGCCCTCCTCTTCTGCAAACCAATGGTGGGAAAGTGAGAGGGGAATGGACTGAGCCCTTGTTCAGTAAGTATAATGAAGTAGGCCCAAATGTTTCCCGTGGAGGGAACATTGAATACACACCATCAAATTTTACCATCAAGGGAAACGAATATCCCAGTTCTGAAGACAAAGGAATGCCAAGAAGAACGATAAAGGTTTAAACTTAACTTGCACATTCCTGCCAATTGTTGTGCAGTTTGTGACTCTTCTGCTGATGCTTTGTTCTTTGACAATGATGTATAGGATGCCAAGGTTTACAGGGAGAGAATAACGAATGAAATTTCTGAGCTGGATGGAGTTGTTCCCCCGAAGAATGGAATGAGTGTAAGTTTTGTGCTCATCTCAATGCTTTTATTTTTTTGCAGGGGTACTGTTCTTTTTTAATCTGTTTTAACATTTTTTTCGTATACGCAGAATTCAAAAAGAGTTAGAGATGGATTTTCTCAGCAACTGAATAGGAAGAAACTGTCCGTGATAGATACCCATCCATGCCCGTATCAACTCCCAAGGTTTGAACTATTACGCTTCCTTAATTTGGCTGCTGGATTTTGAGGATTTCAGGAGCATCTTTGCATCTTACGATTTTTATGTGCCTGAATTCTGTACCTGATCAATCCCTCCTCCAAGCCTCAACTGATATCTAAATTGTTTAATCCTACACGTGTATAAATCTATCTGTCCCCATAAATAGTATTAACACTTCGACTGATGCTGAGACGTTTCTATCATTGTGAAAGAAGTAATGACAGGGAAGCCAGGGGATGAAATGTGTTTGTTGTTGCCTATATCAATATCATTGAGCTAGCAATGCATTCGGTAAACCTTCATGTCTAAAACCTTAGGATGTTAGGGTAGGGACAACATTTAATTATTTTAAATTATTTTTTCAACATGCTTCTTCACATGTTATGTTGTATTCATTTTTCATCAAAAGCCTGACACATGGACAATTTTCATTTATAGATGGCGGCTGCACTCGAATTAAAGACTCTTTGATTTTTATCTGTCCTCATAACATGTTAAGCCACTTCATTTGAAAGCCTCAGTGCTTAGAAAGGGGGCGATATGTAATTGTTCAATTTATATACCCTATAATTATGTAAATGTATATGTTTGCGGAAAATTTATTTTTTTCAGGTAGTTTTTGTCCATATTTCATAAGGAACTTTGTCAAAGTCAAAATTCTTTTTAAGAATTTATCATGGTACTTTACCTTGTATTCTTGGTTTAATGCTGTGGCTAGAAATCCTGTAGATGGGTTGCCTAATTTCATGTTTTTCCTTAAGAGCTTAAAGTGATTGTACCCCCCCCGTGTATTCTCTTTTAAGTAATAAAATTATTTGATTACCTATAAAAAAAAAAAAAAAAGAATTTATCATNNNNAAAAAAAAAAAAAAAAAATTTATCATAGTCAAAGTTGCCTTGGTGAGTCCGGCATTTAACTGGTATTTACCATCTGCGCACGTCAAGTTTTGAGTCCATTAAGGTGACTCGGGATGAGTTGTGTCAATTTTTCAAAAACATCATAGCATTGATTTGAAGAACTACGTTTCACACTATTTCACAAACACAAGGGACATTTATTTATTTTAGAGCTCAACACTCCCCTTCACATGGAGGCCGAATTAATTTTTCACCACAGGCCTAAGCGCACAATTTTCGCAAATGGTATGCATGCGCAAGGAGCATTAGATCCCCACTGGTTGTCACCAACTCTCACAAAGACATCAAGTTCTTGGTCTTTAGTCTAGTGTTGGTGAACGCAACACATTGGATTGCACTATTTGGTAGAAAACACACACGTCCCTATAAATTAAGGGATTGTGGGCATGACTCGCATTTGTACGTTTTACATATATGTTATTCTATGCAGATTATTACTTGTTTATCTTGTATTTTGGCTTGAAATGTTTTGTGCATGTGATACAGGGAATGACACTTGTTTGTATAGCTTTCGTAATGGAGCAATATTTCTGCTAACATTGCACATATGTCAATATACTTTAGGTCTGTGGCTGAGATTCCGTCTAGTTTTAGTGAAGACGATGGAGGTGCAGAAATGAGTTCTATGGATTGACAACTGGCAATTGGTAGGAGAAAATACAGGACAGGGTCCTAAGGCTGTGGTTGTTGAGTACTCAGCTTCAATGTGTCAATTGAAAGGTGCTGCAACTTTGTACAGTGTAAATTTATTTGCATTATAACCTTAGGAAGGTAGTTGTAATTATCGATAAAGACTATTAGAGGCCCTTTTGGCAGGCTTCAGCTTTTGTTTCAGCTTCTGGATAGCTTTCTGGGGAAGTTACCTTCTATAAATGCTCTTTTAGATAGACAACACTATCAGAAAATTAATCAAACATGTCCAAAAGCAAAATTTTAATCTCTGCAGGAGTTTTTGAATTTTTAAAAGTCCCGTCAAACGGCCTTAGATTTGCCCGTTGCACTTAGTAGTTTACAATTTTATTTTATTTTTTTTCAAAAGCAGTTTAGTTTAAATATTTTTAAGAGTAATTCGTTGTGTTTTGTAAGGTTGATTCTAAATTTTCTCTTTTTCGGTGGATGCCCTTGCACTATCGTATGTAAATTATTAGGTATAAAACCTATTTTACGAGTAATAAAGAAGGAAAAAGAAAAAGAAAATACATGACAAAAATTTGCTCTTTCTGGCAAAACTTTGTAGATGCAGGTTAAATTACCTAATGGAAATAGTTCAGGGGTTTTCTTTATTGTATGTAAGTTATTCTATGAAATTTTAACGCAATTATATTTATTTTCATTTTTTCATAGTCGAACCAAGTTTCATTTTTTTCTTTGCAACTCACAAAATTGATGTTTTGGTCAATATGTGTGTAAGTTAGCCAAATATGCTCTAGGCTGTATTCCCGGTAAATTAAGGTAGATTACATGAATTTTTTTTAGAGTAATATTATTCATAGGCAGTGACTGTATTAGTCATCTAACGAGGCATAATTTTAGTAATTACAAAATGTGAATATTTTTTATAATTTTTTAAAATAATTATTAAGATTATGTCGTAATATATCACATAAAATGATTATTACAGTCGCTGATTATAAATAACATTATTCATTCTTTTATCAATGAAAGGCTATTTCAGCTATCAAGCTCAATGAGAAATGCCAAATTTCAATTGCTTTAAGACATGGCTGTAAAGAAAAACTCACTTTGCTAAAAATCTTAAAATTGCTGTAAGAAACTAAAATATAATGGGATGCTAAGTCACAAAATCTAGTAAAACAATCTGTGGTGCAAAAATTAGTCAGATTTGTGAACAAATTGGTAATTTTTCTTCGCTGTCAAGCTATTGATCTCACTCTTCTTTCTCGATCAAATTGGCATGGGCTTCTTCCGAGTTAATTCTTTTAGATTCATTGAACTCCAACAACTGCAGAGAGAAATGCGAGTGTTAATGGAGAATTCGACCGAGTACCTTATATCAGAATACTTGGACGCTCATCTTGCCATCAACAAATAAATGCTCAGGCGCAAACTGAAAAGTGAAAACAATCAAACATTATTAGTTACTTTTAACTAAAATATTTACTTATTTTGAAAGGAAATTATTTCCTTAAAAATGAAGTCACTTTTTCAACTTTAACCAATAAAAGAAGTTATTTATTTTTTAAATGACTCATAAAAATTTATTAAAAATTTGATTTTTTGTTACACCAAACGTGGATTTGTTTCAAGCATTTAATTAAGTGGAAATTACAAAAATCCAAGCATTTAAAAATCTCAATAAAAAAGTCAAGTAAAATGTGTTTTTTTTTTTTTTTATATGCAGATTTCAGGTTTTAATTTAACTATAATATTAATACAAAATATTTCATTCCTAATTCAACCCTAAAATTCCGAAAATCATTTCACACTACCGCCCTCTCTACTCCTCACTCTCTCCCGTTAACCCCCAGCAACGATCGTCCACGGTGCCGCCGCCCATTGAGACCATCGCCTACTGCTGAAGAGAGCCTTTTCACGTCGTCCTGCAGCGGTGCTTCTACCGCTACGAAGCACCACCGCTTCGAAGCCATTTTCTCGTCGCCCCTGTAGCGTGAGGCTATATGTTCTACACAAGCGTGGACTGAAACTTGGTGCGCTGCTGCGAATCGCCGTTTCACTTCTCTCTTTTCAGATCTGCCGTTCTCTCTCTCGTACCCTCTTTCTGCAGTGGCAATATGATTTTTGTGGTGTAGTATTTTTGGTATGTTGAAGGGGAACAAGTAGCGGTTGGTGGCCGGCTTGGCTTGGTGCGGTGGCTGGTGGGTAGGTTTTCACGTGGTGGTGGTGGTGTTGGCGGTAGTTGTGATGGTGTTGTGGTTGTGATCAAGTACTGTGGTGGAATGGGATCGAGATAAGGTGTGATGGTTGCGATGGTTTGGTGCAAGAGGCGATTGGTGGACTGATGGTGGGGTGTTTCAAATCTGTGACCAACCATTTAGGAGTCCGTGACCAACTATTTCGCTGATTTGTGACCTAAAATTAGGTATATGTCACTAAAAATTTGCTGGTGGTGGCCAGATGGTGGTTGGCGATTGTGTGATGGTGTGGTGTGGTGTGGTGCAGTCGGTTGTTGTATTTTGGTGGTCGTTTTGGTTGTTGTCGACTGTGGTCGTGGTGGTATTATGGTGGGGCGGGGTGTAATAGTGATTGCGACCAATTATTTTGGTTGCTCTGTGACTAAGGATTGGTGGTGGATTGGGATCGAAAGTAGAGTGTTTGTTATATGTGATCAACGATTTTGTTTGTGATCTTAAAATTTGATAACCATGACTATAAAATAATTTGTGACTTCAATGATTTGGTCTGTGACATTAAAATTTGATAATCCGTGACTATACAATTTTTATAAAATAATCTGTGAATTACAAAATTTTTGTTCCGTGACCTCAAAATAATCTATAATTAATTAATTTGACGATATGTGACCAGTAAATAAATATGTGATCATTAATCGTGTAACTGTGACTTTGTTATCTTTAATTAATAAATATTTTTAATTAACTAAATATAAACTTGAAATTTCAAACTATTTATCTTATTTTTGAATTGATATAAACAATATACTTGAGATATGAATTTTTCCCTTTAATTAAGTAGTAATTTCCAAAAAGAAGACCAAGCGCAACATCAAGTCTATTTAGAGGCCCGCCCGATTAAAAAATGGCCCATTTCCAGAACCCAAATTAAATCCAAATCTCACCATCTTCCCGCCGCAAGCCTCCATTCTTTCTGCGATTCTCTGCCTCCAGGCTCCAGCCAAGAATCGAAGGTGGGTGAATCTTTCTTATTAGTGTTTTATTCTATTCTTTGGTACAATTTTAGACCATCTTCGGTGAGGATTAACATCAAATTATTTTTAATAAATTTTGATAAAAATTAATAAAATGTGTGATTAAAATATTGTGAGTATTGGTTAAAAATTAATCGTTGTCTTTGATTTAAATTAAAATTTTGATTTTAGTCGCTATTAAACATTGACCTCGAAGGGACGCTTCTTCTGAGTGAGCTTATCCTTGGTCTCAAGGGCGGCTCTTCAAATGGTCAATAATCATGAATAGCAGCTGTGGTAACTGATGATTGATGCAGGCTTGTCATACATAAGGGAGTAACTCACTTCTCTGTAAAGGTTATTTGGTGATTAACAAAATATGGGTATCTTTTATGGATGCCCTTGTTTGGTAAGTCAAAATTAATAATTAATTATAAAAACACATTCGATGGGACATTTCATAACTTTTATCAAAATCTATTAAAAATTTGAATTTAATTTACACCAACCAAGGGCTAAGTATGAATGATGAATACTTACAACATTTACTTCCCCCCTGGTAAAGATTTTTTATAATAAATAATGTGACAAGTGCCTTTTTTTTTTTTTGTTAAATAAGAATATGGGGTTAAAATGTAAGAAAAAGTTATGAATCAAAATGCAAAATTATTATATTGATAGATTGTGTAATTAAAAATATTGAAGAGTCAAGGCTTAATCTTTTGTTCTTCAAGTTTTCAAATTTGAATGTTTACAAGTTACAATTTTTATTTTATTTTTGCTGAAATTTTAATGTCACTGCTCCCTTGTATATCCTTAAAATTAAAGCATTATTGGAAAGTCGCCCCACTTCTTTAATTGATTTTGATTGCTTTACAAAGAAATATCGTTATTTTCAAGTTGAAGAATACTCCCATCCTCCCATGATTATCTCTTATAATCCCTAATTTCACGCGCTTCCACTGCATTGACACCTTCAGGAAAGTCGAAAACTGCCCTCCCTCTAAATTACGTATTAAAGTTTAAGGTTCGAAATTGGGATGAAATGGGGAAATATATCTTGTGATTTATTTGGATATGAGCTCTGATTGTGGAGATGCGAGGATTTGAGTGGAGTGTACCCTGGAGACGGCCCTGAGAGTGTGCAAGTTGAGCGATCACACAGGACCTCAAAATTGTAGGGGCACCAAAATTTTTTATTTTTATTTTTTATAATTGTATATTTATTTATAATTAAATATTTAAAAAATATATTAATTTTAGAATATAAAATTTTTATTATTAGGCATAAGATATTAAAATTAAGAATAATGTGACTAACTAATTATAATTTCCTTGAATATAATATTCTTAAACAATATTCCTACCTTAAATAATATAAGGGCAAAGGGAAAAGTCAAAAAGAGATCAAGCCAACTAGAAAACTGAGAGAAGAAAGAAAAATTGAGCAACCGTCATTTCCAATCGTCTTTTTACAGAAAAGAATTAAATAAATCAATCGTCTTTTCCAATTGCCTCATCTTTGAGGCAAAGAAGAGAGAAACCAATTATTATTTTTATATATTAGATGAAAATGTTGTTGTAGATGATGCACAATTATCTTAAGATTCTTTCAGAACCAATTATTTCTTTTAAATATTAAATCAAGCAATTGGATCACTTGAACGAATGTTTGATTAACTCAATTCATATGAAAACAATTTCGGATTTCTATTTTCTTCTAACAAGTTAAACTCATTGGATGATGCTAATTTGAAAGCATGTTATGAGCATCTTGATATTATTTTAAGCCATGTAAATTTTTGCAATCTTGATAGCAAATATTATTTAAAGAGTTAAAAGTTTTGTGAAATCTTTTACCAAAAGAAATAAAGATGGCTTTTGATATATTGACTTATTTGAAAAGAGTGGATTGCTTTCCGAATACATGTATTGCTTACAGAACATTATTGACAATTCCTATTACTTATGCGTCTGCTCAAAATGTATTTTAAAATTGAAGTTATTAAAATTTTATTTGCGATCAACCATGTTACAAGAACGATTGAATGGATTAGCTTTGATATCTATTGATTAAGACTTTTTAGAAAATATTGATTACAAAAGTTTAATTAGCGAGTTTGCTTCTAAAAATGCGAGAAGAAATATTTTTACATAATTTGTTGCATTTCAAGATTTACATTTGATATATATATTTTCAAGGTTCGATGCTAAAATGGAGCAAAAGTATTTCATTCTTTTACTACTTTATTACATATGGCAAGAAAGACTTCGTTTATAAATTATAATTGAATTATTATTTTGTCTTGGATTCAAACCAAAAAAATTATCTTGTGAAAGTTACAGGAGTCGGCATTTATTTACTTTAGGAGTTCTGCAGAATGCAGTTCACTAAAGTTCCTTATTTGCTCCATTTGACGTCAGATTAGAGTTACGTGTCTTCATTTTTGTAGTTGTTTGAGAATTGTCGCATGTATATTGGGAAAAGGGAATTGTCCTTAAATTACTTTTTAGTAATTTTTTATTGAGAATCACTTGGTTAGAAAAATGTATCGGGAAAGAAATCCTCTTTCTTACATGTATATCTTGGATCTTGGTATATTCCCCAGACCAGAATTTTATCTACCTACTAGCATGAACATCATTGTAATGTAAGTTCTCAGGTTTCCTTTCTTTGACTTTTGGAGTCGCGGAAGATGCAGGCACTTCAGGCGAGTCCTATTGGTTCCTCATTTTTCTATGGTCGAGCGGTTCGGTTAGCCTTTTTCTTTTGAGTCCAGAAATAGATAGAAACTGTTTTTATAACTGGCTAATAGCTATAAACTCGTCGAAGATCAATAAATGTGTACTTCATGAACAATTAATCTCCAATAATTAATTGATTATCGAGTGCTGATAATCTATATTCATATCGAACATCTTTGTTGATCTCATTGAATTTTCTATACATATTGGGGCATAAAATATCCGAAATGTTTAACTATTTGGAGGACATTATCTAGTAACATGATGTCATCAATCAGAGGGATTACAAGGAGAATTCCTCTTGGCCTGAAGTATGCTGAGGTGATCAAATTTAACTTGTTACACTTCAAATTTGACTTTCAAAGATTTCTACATATATTTATTTGCCCAATATGAAATCATGTAATGGTGACGTAACACAGATTTCATGGACCAAGTTCTCTCCAAGCGAATCTAAGCATAGTGCTTTATATTGTGCCTTAAAGGAATGTCTCAAGCTATGCATGAAAACTGGTGTCTAGAATGAAAAAGGGACAGTCTTTCAAATTACATGCCATTTATTCATTTAAATCTATAGACACATAAACCTTATCGGAGCCCATTTCAGGAGAACGTGAACTTCGGAACTTACAGGTACAGGCTAAGCTTAAAAAGTTTACTTATAAAATGAATAAGCAAGTTTCACATTAAATAATATTTTTTACTGGTAATAGTTGGAAGTTGTTGGTACCAAACATTATTATTTCGTAATTTTAGAAACAATTTTATAAAGAAACTCAAAACTACAGAAATATAAATCGCGAAAAAATAAAAATAACAACAGATGTGTTTTTGCTCCAAAAGGAGCTCGGATGTTCAGTTCAAAGAACCTAATCACCCGTTGAGCCTCAGTCAAGAGTATGCTCGAGATTCCACTAAGTATCACAAAGAAATCATACAAATGTTCGAAAAAATCAGAAATTTCTTCGTTTTATCTCGCCTCCTTTCACACAACTTCTCTCTCAAACAAGATCACACAGATCACTCAACCTTTCTTTACAGAATGAAAGATTACAACACAAAGAATTTCAGATTTTCAGAGAGAATGAAAATCACGAAGAAGAAAACCCTCACACAGAGAGAGAAAGAGAGTACACGAGAAAATTCTAGAGAAAAAAACTAAAACTGTTCAACTGCAGAAGACTAAAGGGCCAAGGTAGATGTTCGTTCAAGTGAATAGTCGATCCAAGGGTTGGGGCTGTGCCACGTTTACGACACAGCCCAACCCTCATAAGAGGCAAAAACGTTTTGCCACAAAAACACGTTTTTATAAAAAAGTTTGGGCCTGACTTATTTTGCAAAAAACACGGTCCAAAGAAATTTGAGGCAGCCCAATTTTCAACATTCTCCACCTTGCTGAACAATTTCTTTGTTTCACCAAGTGGATTCAAGCTTCACTTGACTTCATTTGCTCTCAGAACTTGTAAAGAGAAAAAATCTGAAGTTAGTTTATTTTTCAACAAAAGAAATTTTGAATATCACTTGATTAATATTTTAAGTGATGTTCAGAATCTTCAAACAGTTCGTAAATTTACTAAATGTCAAAATTTTTGTTCCCAAGTCAGAAGGATTAAATTCTGTAGGGATTTTAACAAGACTAATCATACCCTGTTCAACCATATTCCTTACAAAATGAAATTTTATATCAACATGCTTTGTTCTATCATGATAAACTGGATTTTTACTTAAATGAATGGCACTTTGGTTATCAGTATGAACAGCAACAGATTCATTTACAAAACCAATTTCATTTAGTAATCCTCTTAACCATATGCTCTCTTTTACAGCATCACATGCTGCTATATACTCAGCCTCAGTAGGGGACAATGCAACCAATTTTTGCAACTGAGATTTCCAACCAATACAACTATTACACAAAGTAAATATGTAGGAGGATGTGGATCTCTTTCTGTCAAGGTCACCAGCAAAATCCGAATCTGTATAACCCTTTAAGATTACACCTTCATTTGTTCTCTTAAATTTTAGTCCTAGGTTAATTGTGCCTTTCAAGTACCTAAACATCCACTTTATTGCTAACCAGTGAGTTTTCCTAGGATTTGCCATAAACCTACTCAACAGACTAATCCCATGAGCTAGGTCAGGTCTGGTGCAAACCATAAGATACATGATGGATCCTACAGCATTAGCATAGAGCACATTTTCCATTCTTTTTATTTTATCTTCAGATTTAGGTGATTGATCACTAGAGAGTGTAAAGTGATTTCCAATAAGTAAAGAAACATGTTTACACTTACACATAGCAAATCTTTGAAGTATTTTCTGTATATAAGAAGATTGTTTTAAAATTAGAGTGCAACTAGATTTATCTCTTTCTATTTCCATACCAAGAATTTTTCTAGCAGGACCGAGGTCTTTCATTTCAAATTCAGATTTCAGTTTTGACTTAACAAACTTAATTTCAGATTTATCATAACAGGCAAGCAGCATATCATCCACATATAACAACAGATAAATGGATTCGGGTCCACCTGACCCTTTGAAAAATAAACAAGAATCATAACTACTTTTCACAAAACCTAGGGTCTGAACATAGGAATTAAACTTTATATACCACTGCCTGGGGGCTTGCTTTAGCCCATAAAGAGACTTTTTCAGAAGGCAGACCTTTTCAATTTTTGATTTTACTTCATAGCCCTTAGGTTGATTCATGTATATGACTTCATCAAGGTCACCATAAAGGAAGGCATTTTTAACATCAAGTTGTTCTAGGTCCTAATCAAAATGGGCAATTAAAGCCAATAGAATTCTAATTGAAGTATACTTGGCAACAGGAGAAAAAATTTCATTATAATCAACTCCTTCCTTTTGGGTGAACCCTTTAGCCACCAATCTGGCTTTATATCTCTTATTTTTTGTTTTAGAATCTCCTTCTTTAATTTTGAAAATCCATTTGCAGTCAACAACCTTTTTATCTTTAGGTCTATTAACAAGAACCCATGTTTTATTCTTTATTAAAGAATCCATTTCCTCATTTATGGCTTCTTTACAAAACTTAGAACCACGATAATTTATTGCATCTTCAAAATCATTTGGTTCAGAATTCAAAGAGTCCAGAATAGAAAATAGGGTAACAAAGTCATCATTTCTGAATCTGGTTGAAGGTATTATGTTCCTTCTTTCTCTGTCTCTTGTTAATTGATAATCTGCTAATGGAAGATTAACAGATTCGGTTTCAGATTCAGAATCAGAATCATTATGGTTATTTTCACCATTAGATTGAGTAGACTCCACCTCAATCAAGACATGTTGATCTATATCAGTTCCAGTCTGATCTTCCACTAAGGTTTCTCTCACAAGTATAGGTTCATCAGATTTAAGATTAGTAGGGATATTACAGGGAAATATATTTTCATTGAAGATAACATTGCTGCTCAATATAACCTTGTAGCAATGTTGCTCTTTAACCCAAAGTTTATAACCCTTAGTCTCCTCCCCATAACCCAGAAAAACACATTTCAAGGATTTAGGTTCTAATTTTCCTTCATTTTGATGTGAATAGGCAGTACAGCCAAACACCTTAAGTTTACTGAAATCTGGCATTTTTCCTGACCACAGTTTTTCAGGAATATTAAAATCAACAACACTTGATGGACTTCTATTTATCAAATAAGTTACAGTTTTTAGGGCTTCTCCCCAAAACAATTTTGGAAGACCGGAACTGTGAAGCATACACCTGACTCTTTCCAGTAGAGTTCTATTCATTCTTTCAGCAACTCCATTTTGCTGAGGAGTGTAAGTCACAGTTCTGTGTCTTAAGATTCCAAATTCGTTACAAAAAGAATTAAATTCAAAATTACAGAACTCAAGTCCATTATTTGTTCTTAGTGCTTTGATTTTCTTATTTGTTTGATTTTCAGTCATCAACTTCCAATGTTTAAAAGCTTGAAAGGTGTCCGATTTTTGTCTTAAAAGAAAAGTCCATATTTTCCTTGAAAAGTCATCTACTATTAGTAGATAAAATCTAAATCCACTTAGAGTATTCACAGTAGCTGGTCCCCAAAGGTCAGCATGTATATAATCTAAGATGGAGGTGGATTTGTGAAGTCCAGTTTTGAAAGGGATTTTTGTTTGTTTTCCAATTATGCAGTCCTCACAAAAATCTAACTTTCCAATATTATCATTTCCAAAACATCCAAGTTTATTTAAGGAAATTAACCCCTTTTCAGAAATGTGGCCAATCATTCTATGCCAGATTAAGGATTTGGTTAAGGAAGAGTCTAAGGCAGTAGCACTGTGACCTACTAAAGGTTCAGCACAGATGGTATAGATACCATTTATCTTAGGAGAGGAGATTATATTTCTGTTTTCAAGATTTAATCTTAAAAGACCTTTATGAATCATTATGTTATAATTATCATCTAATTCTCCCAAGGAGATTAGATTCCTTTTGAGTTCAGGAACATATCTAGTGTTTGTCAGTTCAAGGATACAATTGTTGTTTAACACTAATTTCAGTTTCCCTATTCCTTTAATTTGACAACTCATGTCATTTTTCATTTGGATCTTTCCCCTATCAAGTTCAATAAATTCAGAAAACCAATCTCTAATGGGCACATATGAAAGGTACAGCCAGAATCGAGAACCCATTCTTTTGGATCCCTTCTGGTTGTAATAACAAGAACAACCCCTTGTATTTCAGGGTCACTGTTGCAGGCAATGGCTGCAGAGCCATCAGCATTGTTCTTGCCCTTTATATCAGAAATTTTCTTAAAACAATCTTTTATTAAATGTCCCGTCTTTCCATAATAATAGCATTTTCTAACTTGATTTCTGTTCTTCACTTGAAACTTATTCTTATCTTTAAATTTCTGATTCACAAATTTCCCTTTCTTAGAATAAATGTAATTACACTGATTTGTCTTTTTATCTTGTAATGGTTTTTCTTTGATGTGAAACCCCTCACCACCCTTATAGTTTTTGGAGTCAATTTGTAGTTCAAGTTCTTTATTTCTCAAGGAAGTTATTATGATATCAACATTAAGGTCATCTCTGCCATATTCAAGGGCATTCTTAATATCCCTATATTTCTCACTCAGAGAATTTAGCAGGCCAACAACCTGTTGTTGTTGAGAAAGCTCTTCATTACAATTTGCCAAATCTTGAGTCAATTTAGTGTATTTGTCAATGTTCTCTTCTAAGCTACTTGAAGGATCAAACCTAAAGTTGTAGAACTATCTTAAGAGATAGCATTTGTTTGGCATGGTTCTAGTCAGATATGGGGATTCTAACTTAGTCCATAATCCTGCAGCAGTAGTGTTTTCTCCTACCTTTCTAATAACACTGTCAGATAGATGCAAAAAAATGGTACTCCGGGCAATCTCAGATAGTTCTTGTCTCCTATAGGCACTAATTTCAGCAACCCAGGTGACATCCAGGGCACCTGCACACCTCTGTTGCAATAACAGGGCTCTCATTTTCTGGTGCCAGAGACTGAAGTCTCCAGTGCCAGTCCAGGTTTCAACTTCAAAATTATGAGAGCTTGACATATTGACAAATTATTCACAAAATCACAGCAACACAACACACAGAGTATTGCACTTTCAATTAACAGATGTCCAATAGCAAGAATGTGATAAGTAGGTAAGCTAGCAGAGATATGTATAAGACAATATTATCATGCAGAGCTACAAAAGAACCAATTACAGTTGACAGAAATAAGGAATTCACGTATTTAACAGCCTAAGGAGTGATAATCCTTAGTTCCACTACTCCCTCAGATTCCTAGACCCTCACAAGAGATCCGGACAAAGGAAAGTAATGGAGGATTACTGACCTTAATGACTGGTTCCAGAAATAATCAAGGTAACAATTACAAATATGAGGGGGTTTTAGGAAAAATACCACGTTGTGAAAAATTTTAATTTTAGAACACAAATACCAATAAGAGATTATTTGGAATGTGATCAGAATGTCAATGCAAGTTCAAGAACCCTCCAAGTTGTGGTGACTCAGTGTGAACTCAGCAATATGTCAATGACTCGGTATGAACTCAGGGTAGGTAAACTCAACTCGCCAAACTCAGTACGAGTTGTACCAAGTTACTCAAACTCAGTACCAGAAACAACAAATCAAAAAGGTTAGTACTGAGTTTTAAACTTTTGCAACAAAACATTTCAACAGCAACAACAGTCAATGTCAGATCTTGCAAGATCTGACCAATTATTTTGAAATAACCAAGTTTAACGAAGAATGCCTCAAGTCAGACACAGATCGAGAGTGTTTAAAAAATTTCTTCGAACAAGAAACAACAAAAAACTTTCAGATTTTGGTAGATCAGTAAGTCGAAAAACAATTTCAAGAAATAGACTGTAAAGAAAATTTTAGAAACAAGCTCTGATATCACTTGTTGGTCCCAAACATTATTATTTTGTAATTTTAGAAACAATTTTACAAAGAAACTCAAAACTGCAGAAATGTAAATCGGAAAAAATAAAAATAACAACAGATATGTTTTTGCTCCAAAAGGAGCCCGGATGTTCAGTTCAAAGAACCTAATCACCCGTTGAGCCTCAGTCAAGAGTATGCTTGAGATTCCACTAAGTATCACAAAGAAATTATACAAATGTTCGAAAAAATCAGAGATTTCTTCGTTTTATCTCGCCTCCTTTCACACAACTTCTCTCTCAAACAAGATCACACAGATCACTCAACCTTTCTTTACAGAATGAAAGATTACAACACAAAGAATTTCAGATTTTCAGAGAGAATGAAAACCACGAAGAAGAAAACCCTCACATAGAGAGAAAGAGAGTACAAGAGAAAATTCTAGAGAAAAAACTAAAACTGTTCGACTACAGAAGACTAAAGGGCTAAGGTAGATATCCGTTCAAGTGAATAGTCGATCCAAGGGTTGGGGTTGTGCCACGTGTACGGCACAGCCCAACCCTCATAAGAGGCAAAAACGTTTTGCCACAAAAACACGTTTTTATACAAAAGTTTGGGCCTGACTTATTTTGCAAAAAACACGGTCCAAAGAAATTTGAGGCAGCCCAATTTTCAACAGAAGTAACTACTTATTTCACAGTAAGTTAATAATTACTTTCAGATTAAGCAACTTTTTTACTTTGAGAGTTAAGAGTAAGAAAAATAGGTTACATCTTTAAGCCTGTTTGGAAACTAAAAGCTACTTAAAAGTACTTATCTAAGCTTAGCCAAACAAGCTCTTTCATTTACTGTGGTTATGACTTTCTGGTTGCATTTGCAGGTGAGGCTCGAGCTGGTGGACCAAGCAACAAAGGAGACGAGATTCCCACAAATTATGTGCAATTTCCAAGCACAGCATAGGTATCTGACATGGAGACAGAAAAGATAGGTAACATTGTGCTTTCTCACATATGTCAGGTTATTGTATTTATTTCCCCCATCTTTGTGTACTGTAGTCGTGAACCTTGTTTGCTAATGGATTTGTTAGATTTATCTTCTTAATTCATGATGAACTTGTTACGAGTCATTACTAAATAAAAAGCAACTGCAATTCACTCTAGTTACAGGGTGGCGGTTAAAGTGCCGTGTAAACATTCTCAGATCATGGGGAAATGGTTCGATTAACACTTTGATGCACTTTATTATTATTAATATTATTTTGTTTTGTTGAAAACAAATGCTGCATACTCATTAGTCTATGATGGTTATAGCTGTATATACGAGTTTATGTGTCTGTGACATCCAGAGGTCCAATTTGCAATGTTCATCTTATCTGAAGTTTAGGATGTAATTTGATTAGGTTCATTAAAAAGACAATTCATGAAACAAAAATTTAATAGAAGGCTGATGGAAAACTCTGAATATCAGGATCCAGGTTATCAAGTTTTGACAAGACTAATTAGGAAGACTCCTGCTTAGGTATCTGTTTTGGGTTATCGAGCTTCATATTTTATATTTCTTTATGTAATTGTTTCACATTGTCACTATTCGGTAGGAACCAATTAGAAACTTCCTCTTCAATGGAGTTGACGAACTTGGAAGCAAAACATTTGTCAACTACTTTCCAGAGTATAAGTGTGGGGATGGAACTATAAATTGAAGGGCAGCATGGTTGGAAAATCATTTGAAAGTTGACCCTGGGATGGTAGAGGAGAATTTTTTTTATGATAATTAATTAATCATGGATAGACATCCTGCATTTTGAATCATCTTCCATCTTGCTGTCACCATTATTATCCTCTTTTACCTGATATCTGATATGTAGTTTGCCTTATCTGCAACAAACTCCTTCCATCCTATAAATCTTGGTCTTCCATTACATGAAAGCAATGCAGAAATCTCGTGGAAGTTAGTTTGAGAGTAAGCTTATGTGATATTCTCATAAGCTATTCGAGTTCAGTTCCTCATCCATCCAACTATGACAGTGCTAAAAGTTTTGCAAGTCTTGCAAGAACATGGACCCCTCCTTTTTTTATTTCGTGATTGATTGAAGGCGTTGCTGGGTAGAGCTTCCTATTTGTTAAAGAATAAAGATATAGAAAGATTGTCGTGAATAGTCTGAAAATTTTTCCTCGTACGTTGATGTACATTCTTAATAGTTTGGTTCTCTTTTAGTTATTTGTAATTCCATAAATTCTCAGCGCTTATCTGTTTGGAAGTTTTAGGCACTAGAGCCATCGAGTTCTATTTTTCCTATGAGCATCTGTGCTGAACTATTATGTGTTCATAGTTTTAACCATATTGACCTAGCTATGAAAAATCCTGGTTTGACTTTTAGACTCTTCGAATAAATGTCATTTCGGATTTTAAAATATTTGATACATGTAGAAAGGCCGGTGGCCTACAAGGAACGTAAGATTGCACAAATGACATTATTCTGAGGTAGGTTCAATGCTGTCCAACATCTTCACTGAAAAAATACGAGTTTCTAAATAGGTTTACAATATTGTCGTGTTTGGTAGGAAGGATTTGATAGTATTACACAATAATAAGGAATGAAAATAAGTGAAATTTTGTTTATTATAATATCCAGTCATCTTCAGTACCATGCACCAAACATGAACTAAAAGTACAAGTAATTACAACATTGTCGAGAAATCTCTAATTTCTCAACCAACAAGGCGGTAACTTACAGTGAATAGAAAGCATTTTCATACTTAATGATCTTTTAATGGTTAATGCCAAATATTTGGCAAGATCATGTATATATATTAAGCAATTAATAATAAGCTGGTAGAAAATGAGCAAGTTGGGATTTCTCAAGGGCACTTTGGTCCACCTCTCTTGGTTTTCCAGTTATTGTAGCAAGGGCATACTTGCTTGTTGCCATATGTGCCAGGAGGCACGCACAAACACTTTGCACAGCATTTTTGACAGAAGAACATGCATGGCTTCTTGAAAGATGTTTTTGAGCATCTACTGGTGCACCTAGGTGCACATTCTGCGCAAAAAATGGAGCTTCATTTGGCACAAAGGTAAAATTCACCGAGAGTTTAACATATATGAATTTTCATCTTGATCATTGAACTTTTTTTTTTTTTTTTTGTGTCGAAGTGGCCATCACACTTATAATTTATTTCAGTGTCACAGTCATGAATGTAAGTAATGGAATATAACTAGAGAGAGATGATTTTTACCTTGTCTTGTTGAATATCATGTTTTTTGAGGAAATTAATAGGATGCAGAACAAGATTTGACAAAATTAACTTCATAGTTAGCTATTTAGAACTGCACTGGAGCTGAGACTGTCATAATGACATTGTTCTAACAGTTTCTTCAACTTAGTTCAGCTTGATGCATTTATGGTTTTTTTAATGTATGGTCGAGTCGAGTACTGTGTACTAAACATGCTCTTAATTCCAGTAATATTAATAAAATTAGAAACTGTAACCCACCTTGAGGCTGAAGGCTCCCCTGAGTAGAGCCATACTGCAATCAACAGAATGAAATATTAGCCAAAGAAGAATAAAAATTATTTGTGGTTGACCACATATTTATTAAAAAACGAAACTTATTTGTTGCTGCACAAAAGAAAGGCAAAAAGTGTATATGGATACATAGCATGAAGGAGGGAATCTGATCTTACCATTTGATTGTTTCTCTGTGGTTGCAGCTGAGAAGCTGGTAGTAAGGTGCTAGAAGCCTACAAAAATTCATTCGAGGCACGTGAGAAATTTTCAAATAAGGAACACTTAAGAGATAAGACGCTGAAGTCATCAGTACATTAAAAAATAGTTGAAACTAGTAAATAAATATGTTATTAATCCATCAAGTGATCAATATATATTTATTTTTAGCATATGTAAGAATATCGTGATGTGAAATAACACGAGCAAGCTCTTCTTCGTGAGGTGGCTAGGAAACTTGTGAATTACCTGATTATGGGCTAGAATAGCAAACATGAAGATTAGACAGAACAAGGTTAGTTTCTTTGCCATTGCTTGGAAAGCGTACAAGCCTTGTAGCAAATTGAAAGAGAGAGGGAGTGAAATCAAGTGTATGAATTTGTGCAAAAAACAGCAGCATTTATAGAGAAGGGCTATATGTTTCTTTAATGTTCAATTGGGTAGGACACCACAGTATTAGAATGCGACATAAAGTAACAGTTGCTTTTGGGAATGGTACCCTTGCCCTTAGGTCTTTGTGACCCTCTTTCTCAGACACTGTGATTTAAATTTTTAATGAGTTTGTTCAATGAGAAGTACGAACTGAACCGGCTAATGCAAGCCATGTGTAGATAGTCTGACCCAATTTGACATCTCTGACTACCATAACTAACAAAGACTATGAATGCAAATCTCGTCGGCTTCTATTTATAAAAATTGTGGACATGTTACCTCTTTGTTGAAAAGATGAATCCAATAGTGTATAAGCCAAATGTTAACTCTTACGTCTTCACTCAAAACCCAGCAGATGGCTAGAAAGAATTGGTCAGATTCGACCATAGTTTTTTTGCCCAAAAAAGTGAAAATCATGTGGTCTTGTAATATTTACTCTCGAGTGTTGTAGTCACAATTAAATTTACACCAAAGAATTTCCTATGGATCCGAAAAATAAAAAATTTCGAACTTTTTTCCTCTAGATCCAGATGCCACGAGACTTTAGAGAAACCGTTTTCTTGAAAAAGTTTCTGCTGACGGGGAGAAACGAAACAATGAAAGTGAGTTTCGCCCAAGTTAGCATAGTAGAATTAAAAGACGGGCAATAAGACATTTTTATGTTTCTCGGCGAGGACAGTTTGGTATATAGTGTGAGACCTAAAAACAATGGTATCATTTAAATTGTATCTTCAACATGCCCATCTCACATAGGAGAGATTTCATTTTTTTATTAAAGAAAATAAATGTATAGCACTGATATATGAACTTAAGACATTTGCATGCTCTCATACTACCTTAAAATACTTTAAAGAAGTTTTTAGATCAAGCGATTCAATATGCATCCCTTGAGTCGAATGTCTAGTTTGACATATCATTAAAGGAATTCAATTTTGTTCACAATAACATGAAAAAGGATAAAATGGTGCCGCATTGGCATTATATGCAGGAATTGTTCTTGCCTTGAGGTATCTGATATCATCCATGTGCAATAAAATACATGAAAATGACCAAACATATAAAATCTATTTGTGGATGAAATTCTTTATGACGGTTAATAAATTTAATTTATCTTAGAAATTAGGTAACTTAGCTCGTCTACTCCAACATATTTAATATTTACGAGCGTGAAATTATGTACTTTGTTTTCCTACTAGTAGTATACATATTACCAATCAAATACATGAATGCGATGGGAGTCCATCAACATGTGCAATCACATGCCCCTATTGGTACATAGGGTCACCTTTCAAGGACCCCACCTCCACTTTACCTTCAAGACATAATTTTAAGTTTTTAATGATGAATTGATTAAACAAAATTTTAGTCTCTATCAATCTAGTTATGAAAATTATGCACGTATCGTGTGTTCAGCAAAAATAAAATAATAATAATAATAATAATAATAATAAATTTATATTTGACTTGTACACAATGAGTCGTGGAGTACTGCAGGAACATGCTAGAAATGAGATGAGCTTGATAGGTTGGAGTTGTGATGGATTTTCAAACTTAAATTCTAGATTATATAGGTTGGATGACATCTGTTTTATGAGCTATAGCTTTTGGATAAAGTAGTATCAATACCTTATATCCGTTGATATTAGAGCTAGAGGCCCTGTATCTGAGTTGATGATAGAGCATTCATGGAGTGGGTGGATAATGCAGGAGCATGTTTGAAACGGGATGAGCTCAACAGACTGACTTGATGTGATTTTTTGGGTTTGATTATAGAAAATATAGAATGAATTGTATTAATGTCATGAACTTTAGCTTTGGACAAATTGGTTACAGTACCCTACATCATAAAGATATAATTTAATGAATATATTTGTATCCTTTGTCTAATAAGTAAAGCTGGTAGATAAATTGGTTCAACCACGCCACCCACCAGCACGCTAAAGAGTAACTTATAACTAAATGCAAGGTGAGAAATGAGTATGTAAATGCTCATATGCAACAGTCCACCATCTCTAATAGGCCTTTTAGAGAAATTATTTGCAAATTGAGGCTGGATTTGATGATAGAGTTGGACCCTTTTTCTCCTTTTTGTCCTCGGTTTGGGAGGTGAGTAGGGCCTTCTTATCAATCCATTTTCTTCTAGTAGATGCTCATGCTTGCATGTGGCTTGTTGTAATGTTGTTATAAATGTCGTACGCACATTGTACGAGATTTATATACGCCTATAAAATATTTGTTTACTGTCATGTCATTAGTATCTTTCAAGACTGTTAATTGTCTGATAGAAGAAGAAAACTTCATCATATTTGAGAGAAATAATCCCTTTAAGCAAAAGGCTTACTCTCTCAGAAAGGTACCCTTAGAGAAGTTACCCTAATATAACCTTAACAGGTTTTAGTTTTTAGAGCACGAGTAGAATGTCTTATGACTCGGCCCCAATGCCTGTTGGGGAGTTTCATTTGAGTGCCAAGGCTTGGTCTTTAACATCAAGAAATATAAGCGATTTCCTTAAAAAATAAGCACCTAAATAAGTTGCTTGGTAGAGCAAATCTTGTCGAGTTCGACTTATTTATTCTGTCAACTACTAGGAGTCCGGTTTAAATATGAAACTGCCAATTTCTAACCCATAATGGAATTAAAGAGGCTGCCATCTCAAACAGAACTACAATATATGACCAAACATATAAAATCTATTTGTGGATGAAATTCTTTATGACGGTTAATAAATTTAATTTATCTTAGAAATTAGGTAACTCAGCTCGTCTACTCCAACATATTTAATATTTACGAACGTGAAATTATGTACTTTGTTTTCCTACTAGTAGTATACATATTACGATAGTAGTAAGTAGTCTTCAATATCTGTCTTAACCTTAGTTAATTTGTATATTAAAAATTAATGTACACAACAAGAAACTAGTAATTTTCGATGGAAAAATTCATCAACAATTTTAAAAAAAATACATTGATAATTATATTTACCGATCGAGTCAATCAAAATTTGACTTTTTATAGCAAGTAAATCACAAGTTGACTTTTTTTCTTTTTTAAATAGAGAATCAACCAGATCTCTATCATGTGTTTTTTTTTTGTCAAGAAATTAGTCATTTAATTACGAGAAAATTCATCAATAACTTTAAAAAAAAAAACATCGTGTCATAAAAAGAGAGAAAAGGAGAATAGTAAAAAGAAAAAAGTCAATAAATTTGTGAGTTTTATTAAGAACCAAAATCTTATATTTATAAGGAAGAATTAGGGCTACTAGGAATATTAATCAAAATAACTAGGGCTGCAGGGTATAAAAATTATTCATAAATATTACTATGTAACACTTTTCCTTGAATGATTATTTATATGATAACTATCTCGTTGGACCCTGGTTTAGCAAAAAATTCAATGGGGGCAAAAATGTTAAAAATAAAAAAGAGTATATAATTTGGAGTAATAAAATGGTGCATCATTAAAACCTTATCAAGAAAATTCAATGGGAGAAAATTTGATTGAAGGAAAAATAGTGCAGCTATTTCACTTGATTTCAACTCTTATATCAAGCGATTCACGTCTTATATGTCAATGTCTCCAATATTAATATCTTGTACGTCAATGTCTTTAAGAAAACTTAGTGGGATAAAGCTTGATAATTGCAGTAACATGATGATTTAAAAAATATTTCTTGTTGATCTCTTTGTGTTTTCGTATATATTAAAATATTATTTTGAAGATAAATGTCTTGCATGTTATGGACATTTATTACCCATAGAATATACCTCATAAAAATCTTAATAAAAGAAAACGAGTACTTTTTTTTAGTACGCTACAAAAGTTGTTTCGTTAAAAACCTTGCCAAAAAAATCCAATGGGATAAAACTTTGGTCAAGGAAAAAAGAATACAATGCTTATTAACTTGCCTTAGTAATAATATCACTTGAATTATGTCATGTATAATAAATCTTTCAAGATAACATTAATAGTCATACTAGATGAGTTGACTATAATCAATTCTATCACGTATATATCAAATTTCATGCATTGTCGGGCTAACAAGATAGCGACTTGTGATTGTGTCCACCACCGGATAATTTATCTATTTGTGAAATTCATTATATAAAGAGTCGTACATTTCATATTATGCCTTTACTTTTTCCATTTTCATTTCGTATGAGTATGTACCTTTAGGTTTTTAAACTGTAGATGTAGAAACCTCAGGTTTCTCTAGTAAATTTACTTTTATTATGATAACGTCTAGAAACTTCAGATTTCTATAGTAAATTTAATTTTATTATGATTGTGTCATTTTGTTTGACCAATTATTACTTCGATCAATATGTTTCGACGAATTTATTTCGATTTCTCGCTATTCATAATATAATGCAATACATCATAGGTAAAACTGTTGTCGGGAACTTTTTCTTTTCAATTCTGTTTTCTATGTAATGACATAACTTATTGAGATATCTTAAATTTCATTATTTCAGGTATCCAAACCTTTTCTAGGGTTTTGAAACTTGTTATGTCTAAATACTCATCAAGAAATGTATGTCTTCTTATCGGGACCATCTTTGCTAATAGTTCCATTTTCATTTGAAGATTTTTATATTAAAATTGAATATTATCATACTTCAGGCGTATCATAGATATGAAAATATAACGTTAACGAATTGTCCTCCTAGGACATCTATTCATGTTGGAGCATTTAAAATTGGTGCGTGAGATATTGTTGATCTCTTTAGTTAGTAAATACATCTAAATAAATTATCTTACGAACTTTTGATTCGAATTATTTTTTGCAAGGATTTAAATGATGATGCATTTGTACATTATTTTTAGCTCCTTAATTCTTCTCCTAATGTTGAGAGAATTATCTAATCAAAATTGACATTTAATAAATTGTGTCATAAAATATCACTCATTTGTTTAATCGTTTATCAACATCCCAACTAACACTTATTAAAATATTGAGATTTATGTTTA